AAGCTTCCCATGCATACTGACTAACCACATACTATCCATGAGGATATTTTTATGTATGTCATATGTAATCAGCGTGCTATCGGATGGGTGGTCCGAGACAAAACAGCCGTTAGTAACTTGTCCACGGTTATTCTATGGATGATGGCGCCGAGGTTTGAACACACTATCTTGTAGATATGTGCCGAACATCTTAACCATTCAGCCATAGCGGCTGTAAGATTAGTGACGTTGATGCCGTCACCCCTTCCGCTCCCGAGATCCCCTAGAAACCTCGCTGAGATTCCCTAGAGACCACATTGACATATCATGCAGACCTCCCTGAAATCTGCGAGATGCCTCACTGACATTCTCTAGAAGCACTCTTAAGATTCCTAGAGGGCAATCTGAGATTCGATAGGGACCCCCTTGAGATCCCAGAGAGACTTCCCAGAGCTCCAGTTGAAACTATCATGAGAGCCCCAGAGATCTGCCTGAGAAAATACATTAAAGTGCTTTACAGGACATCAGAATACATTAAAGCACGGGAAGTACATCAAGTACAGAAGTAGGATGTTTCCTCCCTTGCATATAACCAATGTATTTTTAATTTTTTGCATCGTATCACACTTTATCTTCTTAGCCTCATAGTTATCCTCTGTATCCCAAACGTATCCCGGACGGACGGGTATCCGCTTTCCCCCCTTGTTAAGATCTCATATATATTTGTGCCTGTGGCCCCCTCCAGCTATTCTATGAAATTTAATAGTATTTTTAATTTTTGACTGTGTTGCACAACTTTTCTCTTGTTTTTGAGATCTTCAGGCGATAGAGCTTGAAAAACTATCCGTAGGATCAAAATCTGACGTTGAGGCACAACTGTCTTCATAAAAAGTTGAGGGAACAAAAATCTATACACTCAAAAAACCAGTCAATTTTTGTCCTGAAAACGCTGTTTTTTGCCATTTGCTTTCACTTTCTCAGTGTAAAAAGTTCAGATTCGTAGAGAACTCAAAATTTTTAGTTAGACAGAGTATATTTCACTAAATGTTAACAGATAGTTATTCTATGAGGACCAAAACAATGAAAAATGGGGTCTACAGAGTACTTTGGATTTTATGAGTAATAAAGAAGTTTTTGAAGCTCCTATTGTGATATTTGTAATCAGTATTCATGAGTCTGCAATTATAGCTGACTCTAACGAGGGAAGCTCACCAACTGTTCAATCGCTTTTCCGTTGAAACTACTTACATTATGGAGCTCCCACGGAGTTATTCATACACTAAAAATATTTTGGGCGGAAAGCTTATTGTTACGAAAATAGACCATTTCTAAGGTATGGGTTTTACTGAGTGCCTGGGGTCCCCCTTAGTGGCATTAAAAAAATTGATTTTCGAATTTTGACTTGAAACTTTTCATAGAAAGATGCCCTAAAGAGAACAGCTTTTTGTGAACATTTTACACATCTCCTTTATTCCTATCGCTAGACATAGGTATAGTGAAATTTTTATTCTACATCTTTCAAATAAAGTAGCAGATTAAATGAAACAAACAAATTCAATGACCAAAAGCGTTCATAAAACACTATTCTCGTTGAGGTATATTGCCATAAAAAATTTCAAGTGAAAATTCGAAAATCAATTTTCGAACTTCCATGAGGGGATACGGGAATAATAAAAAAATACCATAAAAATGGTCTATTTTCGTAACAATAAGCTATCCGCCCAAAATATTTGTAATGTATGAATAACTCCTGGGGAGCTCCATAATGTAAGCAGTTTCAACGGAAAAGCGATTGAGCAGTTGGTGAGCTTCCCTCGTAAGTAGTGTAAAAATAATTTTTTTTCCCGATAATGTCAGTTAGGGACCCCAATGCACAAAAATTATGAATGTGGTTTTCGGAGGAATAAAGTTGAGAAAAGTGATCAGGAATGACCCCTCATTCATACCTGATAAAAATTATTGAATTTTGAAGGGGACGGGAAAATGGCCTTATCCGCCCAAGTCCTTTAAATAAATAAATGTGCTATTCATTTACTTGCTGCGAACTATTATTTCCATAGTTACTTAGTTACTAGTAACTATGTAACTACTGTAGTTACGTAGTTACTAGTAAAAAGTAACTACAGTAGTTAGTAGTTAGTAGTAAAAAGTAAGTATTGTAGTTACTTTACTTTAGTTACTTTTACAAAAAGTAAAGTAACTATCCCACTTCTATCAGCGAACACATTCATAAAAAAGCAGAAATCACAAATCAACTTATTCGCAAGGTTCACTTATTATTACTTCACTTGCAATTCAGTGGTGAGTGTTTTATGTTTAGGACACAGATATCCTGAAAGTACAGTTCACGAAAATTGAAATTATACCCTGTGAGTTTTCGTGTTTTCACTACCACAACCTGTTTGTTTTGAAACTTATTATACATAGGAGGAAAGTCCAGAAAACGCTACATCTGATGGTATACGTATGTTAAACAATAGATGCAGTTTGAAGTATAAAAAGGGGGAAAGAGACATTTCGCACTAGATTTTCATTAAGATCTCCAGGAGAAGATGTTCGTTACGATTTGCGGACATATAAAAATACATGGTCTTCGGAATGACAAAAATTTGAAATAACCATGGTGTTCGGAATGAAAGTTGTCCAATAGACCGTAACGGACAGCAGTATTTTTGAGAAAAAAAACCTCAAATTTGCGTGGACTTCGGGATGAAAATGGCTGGAAGACCGTAACAATGAAAACATGAAGATTGTAATGAAAAGAGGGAGGATGTTCGTAACTATGTTCATGTGTACATTTTTTCGAGAAATTTCAAATCGCTCAGTAGCTTGTATTAAAAGATAATAAAAAGAACAAAGTTCCGATGAACACAACAAATCGTTTTTAACACAGAGAAAAATAACTTAGAGGGAAACACAGAAAGCAGCAGTGTCACATATGCAACATTTTGGAGATGCTACCACATCTCCCGCGGGAGATGCGGGTGTGGGCGATGCGCATCTCTAAAGAAGATCTCACATCTCCAGTGATGAGGATGGGGTGTGGGTGTGGGTATGGGTGTCGGTGTGGCAGTGAAATGTTCATGTGAGGAAGAAGACAGCCCTACAGCCACAGCCACACCCACAGCCACAGCCACACCCACACCCACAGCCACAGCCACACACACACCCACACCCACACCCACACCCACACCCACACACCCACACCCACACCCCACACCCCATGTTAAAGCTAAAAGTATTAAATTTTATAATTTACCTTGAAAAACTGTAAGCGCCATCAATGTAGTGTTAAAAGTGAAAGATGATAGAGATCTTGTATACAAATGAATGGAAATCGACTATTTCTTCGTGTATCAGAACATTTCTCTTTGGAACAATTTTATTAGCTTTCTAGTACCGAGGGGTGGCACTTTAACTTTAATACTTTAAGGTTAAAGCTTCACTTTAACTTTGATTTGAAAGCAAATTTAAAGTGCCACCCCTAGACATGCCCTTGTTCCTTCAGAGCAAACGGATTGAGATGAGATGATTCGTACGAGTGAAGTCAAGAGAAAACTAATCGTAGCAAAGTTTCCATAATTACTTCCGAAAATTTTTATAATTTCCACGATGACGCCGAATTTTTTTTTCTGAATTTTTGATTACGACATAATAAAAAAGAGGGCTGTTTGAAAACTATGTAATCTTAGCTTTGACTCCTTGAACTCTCGCTGCGATCATGAGTTGACATCGATCTTTTCCTCCTTCTCTTCACGTATAACGCTATATAGCTAATAGGCATGCTGCGAATACAGCAATTCTCTTACGAAGTGCGTACAACTGGGGTGTGGGTGTGGGCATAGACCGAGTGAATACTCAAACGCACACCCACACGCACATGTACACCCACATGCACACCAACGCCAACACACACTCTCAAGATATATATATACATTGTAAAAGAAAGGATGAAAAAAAATTTGTTTCCATTAGAATTCTTAGAATTCTGTTAAATTTAGCAGAGTTATTCAAAACCATTTAAGTAGCTTAATTTTCAGTCTCGTTATATATCACTATAAATTTTCATAACAGAATTCTGTTTACAATTTTCTTTCATTCTAGTACTATAATCACTTAGATATAATTACTCTTCTATAGAAGTTACACATGTCGATTTAGATTTATTTTAAATTCAGCCGTAATATTAAGGGGCCCCCCTCAAAATTGATTTGCCACTTGGAACGATCCGTTTGGGCTGAAAGTTACAGGAGTGATTGGTCATAGTTAGAAACGCTTGTGGTAAAAATTTCAGCCCTGCATACCTTACTAAACTAGACTTACGACTTGTTTTATAGCTTCCACAAGAATCGAAATAACTTTATAACCATAAGAATTATCGAGGTCGGATCGATTTTAAATTAAAGCTAGCCTCCATATGCAACTTTTCATCGAACAGAATTTTGAAATTCGCTTCTACTCATTTTTTATAAATATTTCATTCAGTATGACTCTAAAATTAGGTACAAAAAATGCAGTAAATCGAACGTTTCTCAATCCAGGAATCTAGTATGAAAAATCCGTTCGATGAAAAGTTAAGTCTCGTTGAGACCTTTAAAATAAAATAAAAACATCTGGCGAAGCTTGAGCGAAGCAGGAGTTATTTCAGCTTTACTGCTTGAAAACCATGTTTTGAGAAAAACACTAAAGAAGTTTTAGAAATTATTTTTTTCATGTATAACTTTAAGAGCTGATTTTAAATGGAATATTTCCAACGTATCGTGCTACACCTCATTGAGAGTGCTACAAATGAAGTCAACTAACGCCATCTACTATCATCAAGTGCTATTGCTCTTTTATTTCTCGAGTAAGACATGTATTGGATACACATCGATCTTGAGGTAAATTTAATAAAATATTGAACTTATCTCGATAACATTCAGTAACAAGACACATTGGGTTATATGCTACACATCTCACACTCTCTCGTTGACATAGCATTATGAATTCTTTATTTTTAGATTTATTACCTTAAATCTTCAATGACACGTTCTTCGGCTTTAAAAAAAGAGAAACAGCTCCGACTGGCTCGAAATACTTCCAAATCACGAAAAATCATTAACATTGTTAGAAAAAATACACGTGAACTACAAAATTATTTTATTTCTAATAAAAGTCAGTCAACTAGCAATGAGCAATTCACGTATAAAACACGTACATTTACTGGTCCATCGTGTCAGAAACTAACAGATTTTCTTAAACAAAAAGGTAGAGATGATAATAATAATATACATGATTATTTTCAAATAATTCACAACTCATTTTTGTTGCAACTAAGGAAAAAAACAGTTTGTACCTCGTGCAAGTTAATATGGAATGGTGATATGTCTGTTGCAAAACGAGAAGGTACAATTTTTACTAATTTCTCTCTTGCAAAAATGAATAATTACATTTATATTACAGGATTATATTGCTCATTGGTGTTTACATGTTGCAGCTCTCATGAGATTAAAATTAATACATCTAAACAATGTCTGAATACTTCTAAAAGACATATCAATGTTAGGAGTGTTCTCGGTAGGTTTATCCTCAAAAATTTAGTAATCGATAATTTTATCTAATATTTAGGTGCGAATTTTGCCGGTATTGGTCATCAAGGCCTCGTCAAGCTCTGTGCTATATTGAACGTACCACTTCCCATTGAAGAAGATCATTTTTCTGATACCCTCGATTATTTACTTCCAACATTTGAATCATACAAGCTTCGGTCAATGAAAAATGCTGTCGAAGAAGCTTGCAAGAAATCAAATGGGCGTAAAATTACTGTTAGTGCGGATGGTACTTGACAAAAGCGTGGCTTTTCAAGTTTACATGGAGTTGTAGAAGTTTTGTCTAATGGACCTACTGCAAAAGTACACATTTAATAAAAATATTTCCAGATACGATGAATAATTTTAATATTTGCTACAATGCATTATGTCGTGCATTTGATAAAGAAAATGTTATAGTACCACCTGGTCTAGTCGAAATTCTGAAGCCTCACAATTCAGTGTATTCATCTGTGATTCATACGAATACAAATGATGCTCAAGCGGAGTGCAGTACTTCAACAAGTAGCGAAGATTCTAGTGGAGATGAATCCGACAGCTCAGATAACACCGATTCGAGCAATATAAATGAAGCAAAACCCAAGCGCCGTAAAAAAAGACGAGGCTACTAAGTATGTAGTTCTTATTTGCCAATGTTCCTATGAAAACTCTAAATCCTAGAAAAGTGGATATTGATTGAATTTTTCGGACGTTCTTGAAGTAATAAATATTTTTGCTTAAAAACATTTTTTTAGCACGACAAAATCTTTAACAAGTTCATTATCATCATTATCAATAACAGCAAACGCAAATCTACTCAATCTACCATTATCAGAATTAGCACTGACAATTAAACCAAATCCACTCGACTTACCTCATGATCAAAAACAGCGACAAGAAATTGCTTACAAGCTAAATCAACTCGTCTTCGGTATTCGACAACAAAAATTAAAAACAAAAAAGAAAGAAACCTACGAGCTACCCCCATTAATCAAACAACTTATTAGATGTTTATATCCATCAGACATCGATGACAACAACTGTTCACAAAAACCAGACATTGTATTCACTCTTCGAACATTCATTGAACTGTTTCGCGTGTAATTTTTGTGTTTCAGCTCTTTTCGTTTTTCATCTTTTATTAGCATTCCTAGACAACTCAGGGTTTCTATAAAGTAACTTCACGACATTTCTTGTACGTTAAACTAATGAGTCATCTTGAGAGATATAGAGAACTCGATTTTCTCAAAAATATGTAGGTTTTCGCAAAGTATATATAAACTAAATCTGTCATACGGAGCGCAAACATAATGTAATCATGATCTTAAGTGTTACTAGGCGTGCCTTGGTTGATGTAGGGGTATCTTGTTCAAACTAGCAGCCTATGAATCGATGAAAACGGAAAAAAACGAAAAATGTCGCCAAAAATACGAAAATATCGAAAATTTTGACAGTAGAGTGAGAGTATTTCTTGCATAACTCTGTCAAAACTTAACCGTTTTTCAAAAACCTATATATATTCTGAAAGAGGAGATCACGGGACATCTTCCTATGATAAAAACTCAATTTCGGATTTTTTTCGAAAAATCGGTTTTTCTGAGGGGGGAGTCCTTAAGTGAATCCAACGATATTGTTTTGCAGCTGATAAATTTTTCTTATGCTTTTGGACAAATTTTATTAGCCATTGCACATTATGCTAGATTCGATGCTGAACTTGATGAAGAAAGTCGATTCTGTATTTTTCATAGTTGTATAGGATTCGTAAGTGCACTATTAAAAACAAGTTTATTTTTGAACATTGAAATGTATATGATGATTTCTGTCATAATAATTTAGAACAAATTTTGTCCTCTGCTTTTTTATCTTTTCGAAATTTAATAACAGACTCGTACGGACACATCTTTAAGAAAAAGCCTGTTAGCGCAGCCCCTTTAGGGCTAAAATGTGGAACTCACATATATCCCTTCGACTTACTAAAATAATTCAAAATACTTCATCTGAAAAATCTACCCTGATTTCCAAAACACATATAATTAGGTCATTGCCTACTTGCGTATGTCTGTAATGGAGTATTTTTTTGTTAGCTCTTATAGTTAGCAATGGCATAGACTAGTTACTATGGTCTGTAATGGGCAAGCATTGTTTTTCTCATGTAGTCTGTAATTAAAAAAGGAAGAAATAGCAGCCTAGTTAGCACAATTTAAAACTCGTTAATATCTATAATATTGATAAATGATTACATCATGCACAATAATAATAAATATTGAACGATAACTGTTTCACGATTCTGTA